AGGAGAGAGAGAGAGAGAGAGAGAGAGAGAGAGAGAGAGAAAGGGAGAGAGGCGGAATCGGAGAAAGGGGGAGGTGTGAGGGCGGGTTACCACACACTACACAACTGCCTCCCCGTCCCCGCCGCCAACTCACCACACACCCTCGTGCCCGCCCCCGCCCCCGCCCCCGCCCCCGCCCGCCCCGCATTCTCGGCAAAACGTTTTTGGCGCGACGCCGCCGTGAAACAAGGCCCCGCGATCCTGATCCAAGACGTGTCTACCGTAGTGGTCGAGCCCGGCTGCACCGCTACCGTTTCGCCGTTCGGGGATGTTGCCATTGACGTCGGAGACGTCGCCGCCGAGGGGGACGATGGCGGTGGCGGTGGCGGCGGTGGCGGCGGCGGCGGCGGCGGCGGCGGCGGCGGCGGGCGAAAGCGCGCGAAGCGGGAGCTCGATCCAGTGTACCTGTCGATCTTCGCGCACCGCTTCATGGGCATCGCGGAGCAGATGGGACGCACGCTGCAGGTGCGGTTCGGGGTAGATAGATATAGATGCATCGGACGGGGAGGGGGTTAAGAGGGCCTCCCGTGTGTGACGTTGGCCCCCTAAGTGTGCTGCTTTTCGGTGCCTTGTGAGCGAGCACTTGTGCCGAAGGCGCGTGCCTTCCAGGGCTCGAGTAGGACAACAACTTCGTGGTGTCGGTGTCGTTGTCGTTGTCGTTGTCGTTGTCGACGGAAGGGGTTTGCTGCTGAGCTGCTGTCTGTCTCAGTCGAGGCTGTGGTTGTTGTTGATCTTGATCTTTCGCTTTCAACAACGTTTTCGATAGTCGAAAAGAAAAAAATGAAGCACCCGCGTCTGTCGTCCACAGAACCACCACGCGGGGACCCAAAACATAATCATCCCGCATTGTCACCGCACACGCTGCATGCATTGCCGCTGCACCGCTACACACGCAGCGCACCTCGATCAGCGTGAACATCAAGGAGCGACTCGACTTCTCGTGCGCCGTGTTCGACTCGACCGGCGGCCTCGTTGCAAACGCTCCTCATCTCCCCGTGCACCTCGGCGCCATGCAGGAGGCGGTCAGGTGTGTGTGCGTGCGTGTTGGGCGGGTAGTATTTCTTCGCGTGTCGTCAGTACGGGGGGCGACCTAACGTCTGTGTATTGCGAAGGCGAAGAGCGGGAAAGAGAAGAGGAGTCTAAGAACGGCCGGTAGGGTTCACGCTGTTGTGTGTCGTCTGTTAGATGTATATTGATTGCTCTGTGCGGCCCCGTTTTGTCTGCTACGAAGCCGTCGGAACAAGCGGCGTGCGTTGCTCAGCCCCAAGACAGAAGAATGAGAGTGGTAGATCCGAGGGTACAAGATTCGAAGCAATCTACGGTAGCACAGCACACGTGCTCTAGCCAAGACACACATGCATTCTTGACGGAGGGAGACTAGAGATGCTAGCAGTGATTTCGCTTTTACACCAGGAAAGCAAACTTTCTGTGCCTGCACGATACCACACCAACCTACCCACATGGCAGAAAGCCTTTTTTTGTTCTCGCGTGTCGAACATGTTTTAAACCCACAACCCGCTGCGGCTTTTTCGTATTTTCCTTCCTACAACCCGCCGCCGGTGTACACGACCAACACGCAACGAAAAACCAAATAACCGCCACCAATCGTCAAGGTACCAAGTGCGGCACTGGGGGTCCAACCTCAAGGCGGGCGATGTGCTCCTCTCCAACCACCCGCAGCTCGCCGGGGGCAGGTAAGGGCGAAGGATAAGGGTACTGTAGCGGTGGGAAAGTGCGGCAGAGGTGCTGTATTGACTGCCGTGTTAAGGAGGTGCGTTTCTTGTGCCTGTGCCATACGCGTGTAGCTAAATAGCCTTCTGTGTGTTTGTTTTGGTCTGGTTGTTTGCGAGAGGAGAGTGAGTACATGGGGCTTTTCTTCATCTCAGGAATAGGTCGAAGGACGGGATCATCAACCTTCGTGCGACGCCCCCCCCCCCCCCCCCCCCTACCAACAAATCGGGGGAACATGTTGCCAAACG